TCTATCAACGAGGCATTCTCTCGCCGTCAAGGCCCGCGGTTACGGTAATCGGCGAGGGAACGCGGGCGGCCAGCACTGTTTCCTATTGCTGCTGTGATTGCTGCGCCAGATTAACACAATATCGCATTTCGTAGCATTAACAGCATCATAGTCTATATCCTAATCGCTCAGCGGCTAATCGACGCTCGTAAAGACGACCATACTTGACAGCTTGGCGTTAAGCCCTTTGTAAGCTGTAGCTACCAGGAGAGCGGGAAATGGAGGAAAAGGGGCAAGTTTCTGGACAAATTACACAACTCAGCAACAAGCAAATACGAAAAGGTTGGGTAAATATCAATGATAAACTGGGGGAACAGTTCGCGCTCGTTTGAGGAACTGGTGAGGCATTTTGGGAGCTCCACTTCTTTAGAACAACTCTGCCTTGTCCACAGTTAGAACTCGCATCCTAAACGTTCCCCAGAGGAATACCATAAAATTTCCTATGAGACCCGATTGTCTCCCCAAGATTTATGACAGCCTCATAACTGGTGATTACGAATATCAGAGTGATTTAACCCACAATACCACATTGAAAGACTCATCGAGTGCCCGATATAACTGGAAAAAAGACCCAAGTAATTCCCTAGTGACCTACTCGGTTTACATGTAATTGGTGTACACGGGGACACAGCACACCATTACGCTTCAATTCAAAAACATCGCGTCGCGCCGGCGGCGCGGCTGACGCAAAAAAGGCAAGGCACTTGATTGATCACCACCGTTATCAATTCAATCTGAAAGGGAGACGTCAGGGAGAAACAGCGGGGAGCGTTTGTGCCTCTCAGCCGCCCGGCAGAGCAGGCCCCGTCGCAGCGTAATTGACGTTTTCAAAATGAACGCGGTCCTATGAGGACAACATCCCATGACAGGAGCGCGCACGCGTCCGATCGTGCAGGGACCTACCGGGAAGAATTTTCGAATGGGTACTGTGGGACAGGAATAAGTGGAAATCTATCAAGTGAATAAGCAGGCCATAGATGAATATATGAACGAATTTTTACAGCCTATAATAGCCAACCAAGTGGGTTAACCAATTATCAGCCGGCGGTGAGCCTTTGAAGGGTGGGGTTGGACGTGCGCTGCTGCTGCTCAAGCACTACTCATTCCAAATTCATTGCATCGTCGTTCAAACATATAACTACGGACTAATGGAATAGTAGAACAAGAGTACCGTACTCAGGACTTCACCCGAACGCTGTTCAGCCCTAACGATAAATTAGTCGGAACGGTTTGGAGGAGGTGGGGGGGGGCATCTTGCACTTTTGCTACTTCACATCGATGTGTCGAGCCGACTTGTGAAGTCTTTTGAAGCATCGAAAGCGGAGTATACCAGCGAAAACTTGTAGAGACCTACCTGTCAACCCTTGTAAAGAGAACCTGTAAACTCTTGTAAATTCATGGTGAAATTCCTTTTCTGAGCTATTTATGAGCTCACAAGAGTTGACAGGTTTTACAAGCGTGAGACTTGTAATCCGGAACTAGTGAAACAGCGAAAGTACAAAATGCCCCCCCCTGGTCGCCAAACTGCGCCAAAATTTCTCATAATTTCTTTTTCTTCGGGTTTCGATCCGTCAGCTTACGCAGTGATTCAAAACCTAGATCAATTAGTCCTCATTTGCCTGTGAAGAAAATTTATTGGTCCAAATTTTCTCCTTTTGTGGCCACGGCTAAGCAGCACGCACAAATCTGAGCTTTGAAGAAAAACAGGCTTTTCTAAAGATTCCTCGGTGTTCGCGGGTTTTCCAAGGTCAAATTCAGAAGTTCAATCCGAGGTTCATCGAGGGAACAGTAATAGCCCAGCAACATAACGGTCCCTCAAACAAGGCGCTCGTTGGCGAACGTCAATCGCGACGAGGCCTTCTGAGAGACGCGTTTGAGGAGCGAACAAAGGTAGTTTGAGCATGCTGTAATTAACCTCCGCCT